TTGAGCTGATGTAATATTTTGGGATGTAATATGTTATATTCAAGCTAATGTAATATTTTTGGGTACCTCGGTTGCATCAAATTTATCCAGCATAGGCAAGGAAGAAAGCATTCAGCAACTGAAAGGAAGCCCTAGTGAAGTTCAGCGGAGGGGAGAGGATGTCGTACTGAAAAAAATGAAAATCTGCTACTTCGGTCCATCGTATCCTGGCTCAGCTGCTGCGCGGTTTGGCGTTTTCAAAACGCAAAGTCAGAGAGGCTGCGAATGATTACAAAAGGAAGAAGGGGCATAACTGATTGTTCAGGCCTCGCCTCTAATGTCCACCCTGGACGTGAAGAGCGGGTTGATAAACCCAAGCGCCGAATGGGGTAGTGCAGAAATAGAAGGTGTCTTTGCCCTCAAGACCAGCATTAGTATGCAACCGTGCCGCAAACTGTGTCCGAAGAATTGAGGAGCGCCAAATTGATCTAACTGACGCAGGACGCTTGCAATTGGTCTCCGTCAATGGACGGGTATGGATCTGCTTGACTAAGCACTATAATTCCGACCTACTGTTCCTTCTATACCTCTTGTGACTAGTGGAATCTTCTTCATCTCCGAATGGCTTGGTCTTTGTAAGAGAATTTTGAGAGCTCATTGAGGGGATGCAATTCATATAAGGATTACAGAGTACCCAGCTTTGAAGGGAGAAAAGAGCTAGGGGTCTCTGAACCTATTCCTTTGTGGGTGGAGATACCCCTAACGCCCGACTGTCAAATCTTGTCCTATTTCGAGTATTTGGTGCCAGTGCAAGCTTGCTTGGAGAGAGATCATGGAAGTGTTAGACTAAAGTCACTCTGCGAATCATTGAAGCGCACAACTCATTTGTGGGCGTCGAATGAATTTAGGTAAGCTTGCGGTCATAAATTCGGATTGGAAAAATTTGGTATACGCCCAGGTCTGAGAGTATTTAGCCCTTGCTCTACTGTGAAGATGCTACGTACTTTGAAAGGCGCTATTCAGAACTAAAAGATGTTACCTCGCCATAAGCCTTTTCCTGAATGAGGGAAACTTCAGTACCTTGCAACGTGGTGTAGATGGCGCTCTGCCCATTCTAAGATAGGAAAGGGCTTAGAATTACGTGTTGGCGGTTAGCCTCTTTGTGTTATGTCACATCAGCTGTTTGACAAATTTCTCCCAGCGTTGTCCACAGACATTTATTCCCACCAATAGACAGTGCACATGATGGGATAATCTCGTTACAATGCTATCAAAGTAGCCGCCAATCGTCCTGAAAGTGTATGCTAATCAAGCGCGGCAGGAGCGAAATATCTACCGGAAAGCAGCTGAGATTGAATATGGTAATGAAGCTATCGTTCATCCGATTCTTAACGTAATGCTGCCCCCCTAAGAGACTGAATGCCCTAGCTAATTCTGCGTCAGGTACACCTCAATCACATAATCTGCTCTGTTCTCAAATCTCAGTTGATTCCGCTAATAGTTCTTCAAAACCACTACCAGATAGACATTCTGGAGCCAGGTGCTGACGCGCCAATACAAATGGACCCAGACCTCTTGTGGGCGGTCCCGTAATCCGATCGGCGCCAAATAAATCTTGATTTCTCAACGTGTTACCCACTCAGAAGGTGCTGTTAAAATTTGAACATTTGCCGAATCACTTCCGAAATGAAACTGCTCTGCTGAGCGGATACTATCTTCCAGATTATATTCTAAGCACTCATCGAATATCTCGACATTAATAACTGCTCTTTTCACAAGTAGCGCTCTATACCTCTAGATATGTTCACACCGTCTCCGAGCTATTGGCTTAGAATAGGTGGGACCCGATGGCTAATCAGTCTCGAACGGCCTAGCCAAAATGATGCCAGTTGTCAGTCAAAGAAACACTGTGAGGTCCATTGCGGTTTATGACAAAGGTGCCGATGCGCAGGTTACTCTCACTGCTGTTCATTCACACTTCCTCTCAATCTGCACTTAGGAATTCTATGGTATTCTACCCGAAATCATTTGTTTTAGCTTCTAACAAAGCATGGACATGTTTCTGTGATTGTTCTTCCTCATTTCTAGCCGATAGGGGCTATCAATTGGCCCGGAGGAATCCGAAAGCACAGCGTTTGCCTTGAAAGAATTCTTTTCTCATTTCGCTTCTACTTTGAACGGATGTGGGTGTAATGAATGAGACTCATCAAAAGTGAAATAGCTTAATCAGAGAAGCATCTCGCGGCGTAAACTAGGATAATTGCTTTGGTAATTATACGGTTAAGGCGTCAGAGTTATTCAACAATTGGAGAAGGTCTACTGTATCAAGAAATCGTATTCCCACCTCCTGAATAGGGCCAGCTCTGATTAGCGCAATGAAAATGTTACCCTAAATCCATGTTGTGGTCTTGCCCTGCTTTTGCCATTTCTGTCTGATCCCTTAGAAGTTATCTCCTTCAGATAAATTCTTTTTTAACTTTGCCAACGATGTCATATGTCCAGTTGCATTCCTTTTTCCTTTAACTGAATTCAAGTGAATTTTATTGCTCTATTTTCAAGATGCTGGCGATCAATACCGATCAATAAAATCGGTTTTCGTGCAAGGAGTTTTAAAAAAGTACTAGATCTCACTGTTGAGTGGCTAGAGCTATGTAGTGAAAAATATGCCAATAATTACGAATTTTGGGCTTAATTATGGAGAATTAACACATTTTCAGTGTGAAATTTTAAGTATGTTCAAGTAGCGTGTAATAAATGCACTGGAAAGGTGTGCGCTTTGCAAGAGCTTACGTCGCCATAGCTCATTTACGCTTTTCCAAAATCCGAGGAGTCGATTCAGATGTGTGGCCGATGTTTTAGTGCCAGGCATCGTTTTATTGCCGTATTACGGTATGTGCAATATGAGAGCGAGCAGTAATTATGACCGGCTTGATTGAGCAATGACTGTGGTGGAAAAGTAGGCGGTGCCCGCACTTCTCATCGCTATCATTCTTCACCACCAACCAACCAACCACTGCTTACCATCATCACATCAGTCGCGCTCAAATGTCTCGTGGTGTACCGCGATTGCTTTTAGATTGTTGGGAAAGAGTGATCATGGGTCGGTTGAAGAGAGCTGTGTTTCTAAATGGCGTCGGGCCATTTTGGAGCAATTCGAACACTCATTACTCCTGATGTAATAGTCACCAGTCAATGGGCGTGACGCGGCTTTAATTATCAGTAATTGCACTGAAAATATTATTACTCTTGCCCGTATGTTATGTTGCATGAGAAGAGGGTTTGGGGCCAGGCATTGTCGACCGAGTTCTAACCCGTGCTGCTTGTGGCGCCGTGCGGATGTAAGAGTTAGCTCTGTAGAGCGCTATCTCAGCGCGCTATGACGATTGGCAATTTGTTTCATGTATTCGTTGGCATTAATGTTTGTCTTTTACACTCTTTGCTTGTGCGTTATCGCGTTTGAGTTCAATGATATCCTGCCTTTCTGTTCGCATCGTAGTGAGATGGCCGTTGCCGATACATCACAACACACATCTCATCATTATCTATTCAATACTGCTTCTGAAATTCGGATCATAAAGGAAATTCGGATCATTCAGAAGGACTTCAACACTTGTGACCCTTTTGGCTCCCGGCGGGTTTTGTAAGCCCATTCGATGTGGAAATGACGAAAAACTCCAGTATCCCCAGTCAATTTTCTTCTGGCTTGTCTGTTTTCTATTAATCACTACATGTCAATACTTTCCTGACTTTTATTTTCAAATACACTTGTTATCAAATGTACTTTCCCAGACGGTTTTTCTCCCTTTTCCTTTTCATTTTCCTTCCTCATGGATTGAAGACCTTTCTAAGTTGGACTCAACCTTCCAAAGTCAAGACTTCAGAAAGACTAGAAGACGTAGCAATTCAATATTTGAAACGCGTCAGCTAACCAAGAAGAAATACTATATGAGAAGACCGCTACGGGAATGAACTCTGATGGCTACAGTATCAATTTCTCAGTATTTCTGACCCAAGTAGCCCACTTTTCCAAGCTCTTTTTAAAACCGTTCAAAACAAGTACGACAATTTAGCTACTCACAAAAGTTACAGGTATCCTACGGTGTCACACTGTATTCATTTACAAGTTAGGCATGTGCTTGCACCGACTGTTAAGTCCAGGCGGCCACATATTGAGGAATAAACACCCATTTATCCTTTCATAAAGTAGCTGTAATTCAAATATTCAACTGAAGCCTTCGATTGGATACAGGACGCCCTACCACTAAGCAGCGATCGGGACGAACCTTTCAGCACTTCTCGGTCCAAGCCCATAAGGAATTTGCAGTATTGCCCATATATGGTTCAGTGTATTGCTTTCGAGGCGCTACTGAGCGAGTCCCTTAGAAGTCTAGCGCTCGGGTACACTGCTGCATTTTGGGAGCTCTCCAATGGTTGGGCAAAAGAGAGCTACATGAGCGTAAAAAGTAAGATGATTGGCGTGGTTTTGATAGCCCTGAGTGCGCTGCGCGGCAATGCTCCCCTCCCCCCCCCCAATTGCACTTGAGTCGCCAATACTAAGCAAGTATCCCCTCTCCGCATGTGAAGATCTTCTTCCTGTCTTGGAATGCGATCGCCGGATCACTCGTGAATGATGATGGCAATGCTGGCGAATCCATTTGCGTCTTTAATTGCTTGCATGCTGATAGGCAGCTGGTGCATCACCGTAACCATTGTTTGCCGTGCAATTTAGGCGTTGATTTTCTCGGATTGCATGATTACCCAATGCGCGCCTCTTCTCTCGCCTCTCCCGCTTTACGGGCCGCTGCTATTAATTAGCGTATCAAAATCAAGCCTTCTTATGGATACGGTAGAGCGGCGATTCGTCGTCGCTCAGACCTACTGCTTGCTTCAGCACAGCATCTGTATATGTCGTACGAGCCGTCTCGTCTTCTATGCTCACCTTCATTTCATCAATTCAGTACATTTCGCGCTAGAACCACGCTCAGTCTTCAGTATACACCTGAAGCACCGATCTTTTCAGGATGGTCTTCCTCGAAGGCGAAAAGCGGCCGTCGCCGTTCAGCGTCGAAAGTATCCTTGAACGCAAAGATGAAATTTGTAAGCCACAAGCCATGGCACCAGCGTCATCATTCAGTACGACTACAGTCGCCCCCATCACGCCGACTCATTTGAAATTTTCGAACCCTTTTGAGACTGCAATGCTTTTCTTCGGACAGTCCAGGTTTGTATCAGGACCTTTTTGTGTTTTCTGGGTTCCACGTTTGTAGCACTTTTTAAGGCTACCTCTTCCCCTTTCCGATAGCTCACCGGAGTCTTCGGGATCCTCTCCGCATTCGATTGCCAAAGTACAATGGATGAACACTTGGTGTGCTCGAAGCGATTCACCCAGTGAGTTCTGCGAAAGTTTTTCTTTACCCGTACTGACACTCAAAACAGTAGTGCTTTTTTCAGTAAATGAAGATGCCAAGATTCAAATGGGCATCAACAAATGTATGCTACGAAAACACAAGAACAATCGCAAACCCCGCACACCATTCAGTACTCAGCAGCTTCTCTCACTTGAGAGAAAGTTTCAGCAGAAGCAGTATTTGAGCATAGCAGAACGAGCCGAATTCAGCGCCAGCCTACAGCTGACCGAAACCCAAGTGAAGATCTGGTTCCAGGTACGGGTACAACGTCTATCTGATATTCTCTATTTCGTATTAACTTGGTGTCGGTACGACAACGGCACACTTCCAAGATAACTATCTCGATCATCGATGATACGCCTGCTCATAATTACATGGCGCGTTGATTTACTCCTTCTCAACGCTATAGATTATACTGATGTGACGTGTCAGTGACCGTCTTCAAAAACATCGATGAGTAAGTGCGATGATCATAAATGACATTGGTCAACAGTTTCACCAGTTAAACTCGCGTCATTCAGACCCACGAATTCTTCTCGCCATTGAAATATGCGCCAGATGGCTACCGTATACCCGTCTCGGCCCAAGCAGCGGGCCTTGGCGTAGCCCTCATTTGGCGCGCCCGCGAAATGAGTTACTCATTAGATGATAAACAATGATCATGGTCGTTAAGCCTTCTGGTTTTAAAATACCTTGGGGAATCGTGGGTGGATTGGGAATCTATTGGGGACTTACGAATTTTCTGAGCCATACCATTCTCGCAGGCTCTTCTCTTGGTTTTTAGCCCAATTTTTCAATTTGTTGCTAATTTACTGGTCATATTTCTGCGAAGGTACAGCTTTGACAACTGCAAAACGAACAGAGAAGGGAGGCACCTGCGCTAAAAACGGGTTCTCAGTGATTATATCAGTGCGATTTTATGAAAACCCGCTTGAGCTGGAATTTCCTTCACGCACGCTCATCAATCGTAGTAGTAAACAAATACTATAGTAATTACCATAGTAGTATTGTATAACCAACAGTGTCCCTAGACTTACAAGTCGTTCATTCTGGAGATTCTTACACCAACTTAAGTAGGTAGGATTACTCCGGTCGCTCTTTACTTCTAAATCTCTTCCTCTTCAACCTCGAACACTGCCCCAAAGAGTTCTTGAACGTTCTGTTCTGACCTTAGCTTCTGAGCTTACTCTATCTTGTGGTTTGGATAACTCGGTAACCCAGAGAGTCAACCATTGGAAGTAAAAATCATTCAACCCTGCTTACCCATCGTTTAGTATGGTTAACGAGCAACTAATCGCTTTTTGTCTCATCGAATACCAGCGAGTCATAATCGCCCGATTTATCATCGACTCATTCCCACACATCTGCGCTCTTCCCCACTGATTTATAATCTCAGCCTTTTGCATCTTGCTAGCCTGTTTGGCACAATTCGGGATTTTTCCCCATTCAGTAGAAAAGGCGTTCACCATTCATGGGGGGACAGCTTGGAACAGTGTATCTAAAACTGATAGCTAAAAGTAACTTCAAAAATTAAGTGGTTCAAAGTAATTTTGCAAGGTGTTGGGGTTGACGGTTGGGAAAGACCCATTGACGAGGAATTGGTGCTGCAGAGCCAATTCGACTGAGTTGGCAGGCTATGTAACGTGGGCAGGTGTTTTAGATGAGCATACCAGTGAAAATTCACTGTGGGTCCTGCTGGGATTACTGCTGTCTAAGGCTCCTTAGCTAGGACCGCATCAGCATTTATAGGAAGAGGAAACGTCATGTTCAAGATTTTTCGGAGATAGAAGAAACAGGAACAAAGGGATTGTTACACGGAGAGGTCAACATATTCAGAATTCCCCGCTTCTAATCCCCCTAGGCGGGGGAATAGGAAAGTAAGGTGTAAAGGAATTTTTGTTTTCCCAAAGTTCATCCCTTCTCTAATTCCACTCCTCATAGCGATCCCCCCAGCCCTCTAAGAACGATTTCGCAGGCATAGAGAAAGCAAAGCATTAACCTGAAAAGGAGGAATAAGTGCTGATTCAGAGCTTACATATGCCCCTATCCGTTTTGGGCTGGTGAACCCATCGGAGAGGATCGTTCAGGATAAATTCCTTTGCCACGTAGTCCACCCTTGCCCTATTCCTCTACCTTCCACACTTAAGCGAATTTCGCTGAGATTCGAGTTGTCCTGGGGCCTACAGTCTTTTCCACTTGAGCTTCTTCTTGAGCCCTTCATCTGAGCTCTTCATTGAACTACTGAAATTTCTCTTTGTACTGACCAGCCGTTGCCAAGAATCCTGCCTCTCTCCGTGAATGTGGGTAGTGACATGTTTCTCAAATTTGGTCACAAGCTCTAACTAATCTGAGCTTCTCAGTAACCCGTTTGTCAATGAAAGGTGTTGATTTATCATTAAGACGAGTGATCTATAGACATTCGATTGCCCCCAACTGTGTCCGCAGCGCGTTTTCTCGCTAAAGTCAATGAAGGTGAAATTCCGTGCAGGGCAGAAGTTCGAGGAAATGACAAGCGCCCCATTACTGCCGCCAAACAGAAACTGATTCAAGGGGATTGAAAAGTTTGAAGTTGTAACAGAGGCAGAACAAAGCGATTTGCTGATATTCACAGATATTTGGTACTGCTATGGCATGGTAGTGCAGCTGAGAGTAGCTTGTCCATTAGGATTTTCCTCCATAAGAAATCTAAAAAAGGGTAGCCATTGAATATTCCCAGATCAGTACTGCTAGTGGTAGCAGTCAAGGATATTTCAGGAAAATGCTTTCTTATTTCAGAATCGCCGTGCAAAATCAAAGCGCTTACAAGAAGCTGAAGTAGAGAAAGTGAAATTTGCTCAGGCCAGTGCACTAGCCGCAGCAGCCGTTGTAAACGTACAGAACGATCCAACCAAGTCATTTCTCGCCTTTGGATATCCGACACAGTGGTGAGAAGCATGGTGCGACTTCTTCACTGTATTCGTAATGATCACAGAAATCCGCTATTTATCGACATTCATTCCTTTACTGTTGTGAAACTCTGTTACGTGTTTTTTGTTTGTCATAATCTTTTGTTCTCAGAACGTATATTTTTTTACACACAGACGACCATAGGGTACTTGTATATACACGTGGGGGACCAATCCGATGTCCCTATAGCGTGTTTGAATTTTGAAACCCGTCTGTCATATTCAGTTCAGATACTAGTTGGAATTCGGTGCCACTGTCGATTCCCAGGGTTCTCTAACTCTAACCGAAGATGCACCTCCGTAGAGCATCCGGCGTTATTCAACTCGGACAATTGGATCTCCTTTAAGTGAGCCGCGCCGCTGATACGTAGAAGAAGAAACCACATCGAAAAAGGTTACGGCATACCTGCTCAGTAATAAGTATAAAACAAGCGCTAAATGCAGCCCGTAATTCGCCTTTTTCTCTCGTGAAAGCTTTTGATGACGCCGCGCGCTGGGATACAGACGCACACGGAATTTTTTCCGATAAGGGGGGAATTACTCCTTAACACCTGTCTCGTTTTCTTACATACATATATACATATCTTCTCTTCGAGAATCGCTAACCGTCTCTCATGCCAATCTCATCGGTGCATCGTTGTGTCACATATCTATTTGAACTACCGCACAACTCTCATGAACTGTTTCACATTATATTTACATATTATACTATATCACGTGATTTTCTTGCTTAGCACAAGATCACGGAAACTAACTAGTCCGTCGCAGGATTCTTTACAATAAAAGACAATGTAGCTGTAGTGTTAAATTGTACCGAACCCGTTCATAAGGTCATAAAATCTGAAAAAATTTGCTCAGGTGTCGTTTGGGTGCTCTATAAAAAAGTTTGTGATATTGTTACAATATGATGGACGGAGGTCAATAAAGGGACAATGGACCAGGTGAAGTATTTATGCACCAACAATCTACTCCCGATGATTTACATTGAGGTGGCCGATTAGTGTGTAATATCATCGCAGTTGGCCGCCGTCGTCAGAGGCAGGCAAGCCAACAGATCTGCTAGCGAGAACCCGACCAGTGTCGCCCGACAGCATGTCGCGTGGGCTTTGCTCGATCGGGAAACAAACTCAATTTTTTTTCTGTACGAAAGTTGATATAGGGCTTGGATAGTGCTGTCGTAGGATAGGGTGCATCTTTGGCAGCTGAGTCCAGGGTGGTGACAGGAACTCCGGAGAAAGTGAAAATATGTACTCACGCACACTTGAGTCTAGCGTCCTCCCTCCTTTCTCAAAAATCTGGCTTCTTTTTTCACAAGATAAGCAAGCGTTCTACTGCGCCGCCGTCGCAACGAAACCCTGCCCCCACCCTACATTGCGACAGCGCCTAAAGAATAAAGCCATGCGTTCTACTTCCATTCGTAAGGTAGTGACATTTGGAATCCAATTTAACCTGCACAGTGACTCGCGGGGCCGATGATGTTTTTATCTCTTAGGCAAGTTTGGTACCAAACTCGGAGGGATGATTGCTCGGTTGTTTCAGGTAGTCATGGTCCAGGATTCGATCTCTTGACCGCACGCGTGGTGATCATCGCAACCTGCCACTACACCACTTTTGCCCGTTGTAGCTAGGTTAGCCCAACAAAATGGAACGTCACGATATAACGTCACTGGTTTGAGTCCACGTCACTGGTTTGAGTAGCTACAAGTGATCCATTCAATGAAAGAATCCTTAAAGAATTCTTGCTCGCAATGCTCCAGCCTTTCAAAAAGTAGGAAAGCTCGTCCTGGTGTATGTACTCTAATCATGCGAGAGGAACATCTCAATACAGAGCGCTTACTCCGGAGATGTGATGATTTTGGCGAAGCCTAGATAAGAGGAAGGAGTTTCGGGTTAGCTTCACCACTTCTCTTGGAACCCGGAAAATCCCCTTAGTGCACAAAAAATGGCTCACTCACTCGAAGCTCCCTCTTAAAGAATCATCATCCCCTTAGATCACAACTCTCTTCATAACATTGATCACCATAGTACCCTGCATGGTTCAACCGAGAACAATTTGATCAGTGATAAGTGCATCTTCGATCTACACGCAATTTTACGGCCTCTCAAATGGTAAATACTGTTGTTCTGATCTTTAGAAAGGAGGAGGGTGACGTCGCCTCGGTGCAGTACACCCAAAACAAGTCAGTGAATTGAGCAATTTCGCCCAACATGCAAAGGACGCTAGGCCATTCAAGAAGCGTCTTCGAACGCTGACCACAGATCTACCTTAAAAATCTGTTAACGATTCTTGAAGTTTAGTCACGAATATGCGGAGTATGTAGCTATATGGTGAGAAATTATTTTGAAAAAATGATGTTCGTAAAATTTATCCCACATCGTCCAAACAAATAGTAAACTCAAGCAGTAATCGCAAAAATTAGCACCGGTTCGAACACACATCGGTTGCAGCATGTAGCAACCAAGTGGGCTTACTTCGGCTATCCTTACACTCAAGAACACAGTCCTTCTGAACTGAGCTGAGTTGAGGCGTATCGTTTGAACGTGGGCAATCATCACAGTTTTCATCAACTTAACTTCATAGAAGTAATTATTAAGTGGTGTTTCGGTCAGTAGGAGAACGACTTCTTCCACCATCAGAACTCTGGATTTCTTCGGATTTGTCTATGTAGTGATATAGCTAACTACAATAGGGTTGTATTTGGGCTTTTGGAGGGTTGTACTTTCTGGGAAGAGTTCGTTGATTAGAGAAGGAGTGAATATTTATGAAATTGGCTGCATAAGGATCAGGAGTTGCGCACTTACCTGTCCCACTGCCCTAACCTCCTCCCTCGCAGTTTGTCAATTTTTCATTGGCGGTGGGAAGTGCCATGTTGTGGGGGATTCAACTATTGCAAGAGTGAAAAGACGGCTGTGGTTTTGGCGGTGGAGGAGGTCGTGAAAAAAAAATCCGCAAAATTCGTCAATTCCATATCCCACGCGCGGTTGACCCTATTGCTTACCATTCACCGCAGTGAGCACTTTCATTTGAGTTTCAACCCGATAGCAGCCCAAAGCAGTACAATGTGTCATCAAAGTATAGTACGTACCCCATTCGTCATCGATATCTCTGGAACAGGAGAGTGAATCCTTTTCAAGTTCTTGCCATGAGAGCTAAGTTGACATATTGCGAATAAATTTGAAAAGAAAAGCAAACGCATCTTCTTGAGTTTCTTTCCCGATACACATGTTGTCCTAAAAGTATAGGTTTACTTTGGTATTCAGACTTTCTTGATATTCTTCTTCTCCCCAGCGTTAGTCCCGCGCAGTCGCAGGATCCGCTGACTTTCTTGATAATACACTTAATACAGTTTTCAACAGCAACAACAGGTGCATCCTTGCAGCATTCCCTCTTCTTTGAATGGTTTCAGTGACCCGCTTTGACGCCCTCAATACGTTGTGTGGACTGTTCCCAAACTTCTTGGATGGGGTTTTAGATTGTTCCACTTTGTCCAGTTGTCCATAGCAAGCTAAAAATCTGAGTCGGGAGTGATCTAAAGATCCTTAATCGAATTTAGGTCTGGTTAGATAAGAAGGCTGAAATTTCTCTTCTCACTATGCCACTGTTGACACTTGCGTGAACAGTAACGTTATCTCACTGAACTTTAAACACACGAATGAAGATTATGATTGTGATCATGATGGTGATTTATCATTGGTTGTAAAACCAAACATAACAAACCGAGAAACGTAAGGAAGTTACTAATAGAAGAACAAAGCGTAGGGAATAGCATAGAAGTCAGCGAGAGTGCAGGGCGAAGGTGAAACACGGTGAAGCAGTGGTGAAAAGCAGAGGGACGCCATCACTACAAGCCGCGAACCGTGGAGCGTCTCCTGCTACCAACTTGGTGGGTCCGTCAACACCAACATTATCCACACGATGAAATCAGGGCCTGAATGCAAAGGTCTGATAAATTAAAACAATGAAAGGAGCAACGGATGTGTTAGCAGACGAAATGCAAGCAGCCACAAATGAACAACAAAAAAGATCAAGCTCTAAGGACGGTCATCTATAACTGATACAACAATCAATGACACAACAAACAACCAACTTGAGTTTACTTATTGCTACACGCCGAATAGTTACTACAAAAGCAACCTAGATTTTTCGAGATTTGAAATTCTTCTGACCTTTTATCTAAAAACTTTAATCATGAATTCACAGTGGCTGACAAGGTGTTCCAAAACGATTTGACCCTTTCCTGTTTCTTGTTGTTGTTTCTAAACGGGCTTGTGTTGATCTTTTCTCACACAATCAGTATCCTAAAGCAGTGCCCTCGCGTAACTCTTATAGTTCCAGACCTTCTAGAGCATATCATGCTCAATATCAATTCCTTCCATAAAAAGCTCGTACGCATCATAGTACATAGCCTTTCGTCTTCTATGGAGTGTCGTTATGGACAATAATTGATGCAATCTTCATAATGTATAAAGTCGTGAAGAAAGTTTTTGCGCTTTTCGACCCTGATTTTCAAATGCCTGCATCTCGGCTCATTCGAAACCTTTTTGATTGGAGTAAAGACTGTTAAAATCCACGAACCTCTGCCAATAACAGCTGCATTAAATCATCCTGGTAGTGCAGAATCCTGAAGCTCTAGAGACGATGAACCCGGCGGAGGTCGTTTCAGCATCATGTTAGTTTTTGAAGCATAACTCATTGGAGAAGCTATCCAGGTAGTCGAGAAAGTGACAAATTATAGGCAAGAAGTCTGCCGAGTAGGATGTTCGCAGGACTAATTCGTAGCCAATCTTATCCAATTTCTGCAGGGTTGGTTGTGGAATGTGCGTCCGAGCTACCTGTCAGGAACGAGCCGGTTCCTTTATAATGAGGAGTTTTGAGCATATGTGCCAGAGTTCCAGGAGTAGTTTGACACACTTTTAGGAGAACTTTTTCCACATTAACAGATCCACCTGGTTACAACAAGCTAGACCAGCCGCTGACCCTAT